AAAAAAAAAAAGGAAAGAAAATGTCTTAGCAGAATACCATTGCCTTGTCTATTCATTTAAATTTATGAAAATGAGCCAGGCATTGTGGTGAATATCCAGAGTCCCAGCTACTCAGGAGGCTGAAGCAGAAGGATCACTTAAGCCCAAGAATGTGAGGTTACTGTGAGCTATGACACTATAGCACTCTACTCAGAGGGACAGAGTGAGACTCCATCTCAAAAAAAAAAAAAAAGTAAATTTATAAAAATGATAGCTATATCTGGGCATGGTGACTCATGCCTGTAATGCCAGCACTTTGGGAGGCCAAGGCAGGAGGATCACTTGAGCCTAGGAATTTGAGACTAGCCCAGGCAACAAAGTGAGAACCCATCTTTACCAAAAAAAATACTTTTTTTTAAGTTAACTAGATGTGGTAAGGTTACCTGTAGTCCCAGCTTCTTGGAAGGCTGAGGCAGTATCACTTGGGCCCAGGAATTGGAGGCTACAGTGAGCTGTGATGATGCCACTGCACTCCAGCCGGGGCAACAGAGCAAAAACCTGTTTCTTTAAAGAAAGAAAGAAAAAGAAAATGGAGGCTTCTCTGTGGGCCTCTCCTTATTAAGACGTTCCTGCTGCCTTTCTGGGCTCCCAGGTAATGCAGCACCCCAGTGAAGGCGCTCTGGTGCTCGGCCTGCACAGCAACGTGAAGGATGTGTCTGTACCTGTGGCAGAGATAAAGATCTACTCCCTATCCAGCCAGCCCATCGACCACGAAGGAATCAAATCTAAGCTCTCTGGTAAGACATGTACAGTGTCTGGGGACTGTGTGGATGAGGAAGGAGCCTGTCCCCAAAGCCCCATCCTGGGAAAGCTAAGCAGGACGGTGCCTGAAGTGTCCCGGCAGACAGAGCAGACCTGGCCCTCATCTACCTACCCTACCTATCAGAGTCCCTTAGGCTGGATCTCCCCAGGGCAAGGTCATCTCACTAAGGTGTCTGTTCCAGATCGTTCTCCTGATATTGACAATTATTCTGAGGAAGAAGAGGAGAGCTTCTCCTCAGAACAGGAAGGCAGTGACGACCCACTACATGGACAGGTACCTTCCCTCAGCCCCTCACGCGACTGTCAGAGAGTCTCTTCCCAGGCCTCCTGACCTCATTCCCCTCATTGTACCCCAACCCACTTAGGACCTGTTCTACGAAGATGAAGATCTGCGGAAGGTAAAGAAGACCCGGAGGAAACTGACATCAACCTCTGCCATCACGAGGGTGAGCATTTGAGGGCTGGAGGTGGGTCCATCTCTGATAGTTCATCTGGTGCTGGAATGAGAGCAGATATTCAGACTTGATAGGAGGTTTGAAAATCTATCTGTACATGGCCACCCTGCTTCAGGGTTCTGATGTGCCCCTCTGCATCCCTATTCCCCCGTCTCTTCACCCCCGAAGAGGAGTCTCTGTCCTAGGGTACTGTGTTACTGATACGAGTGTGCTAGTTCTTCAGGTTGTCACAGGATAAGGATTTGGAATGGATAATAGTCCCTAAGGGAGCAGACACCTCAGACCCCCTGCCAGCCCTCTCCAGGTATGGCTGCCCACTACAGAGATCAAGCCAGGTGCCTCTGGCTTATCCTATCAATATTCCTTCTCAATCATTCGTTGAACTTACCCAGAACTAGCTAGTAGCTGGGTGCTACTGAGACTCTAGACTCCATAAAGTTCAGTCGTGTTAGCTGTAGTTGCTGCCTCAGTGGACCTGAAAGCATGGAGACTAAATGCCTTTGGATACAACCTCTGTGAAGTTTCCTCAAAAAAACAGTCCAACCTATCTTTGTGTCCTGGGAAAGATCAGCGTGAGTCACTGTACGGCTCGGCATCTGTAGCTCAAGCGGCTAAGGCGCTAGCCACATACACCAGAGCTAGTGAGTTCAAACCCAGCCCAGGCCAGCCAAACAACAATGACAACTACAACCAAAAAATAGCCAGGCATTGCGGTGGGTGCCTGTAGTCCCAGCTATTTGGGAGGCTGAGGCAAGAGAATTGCTTAAGCCCAAGAGTTTGAGGTTGCTATGAGCTGTGATGTCACAGCACTCTACCCAGGGCGACAGCTTGAGGCTCTGTCTCAAACAAACAAACAAACAAAAAGGTGAGTCACTATGTTTGGTGAAATTAAAGTCCTAGGTTAAAAAACTAAAAACTTAAATTTTTAGGTGAATTTTGACTGGTTCTGGAGCTTCTGAGCCAAAGTGTAGGAAGGTCAAAAGTGCTGGAAGCTTTTGGAAAAAGCTTTCAGAAGAATTCACATCTCCATGTCCGCAGGGGCATCGTGACTGTGCAGTGCAGAGCTGGTCTGGGAGCAACCAAGAGCAGAGTCCCACCTCTTCAGGGCTGGATATGGGCTTCATAGGTACCCCTCCAGTCACCCCAAGGCATGTGTCACTACGTTCTTCAGACAAGGCATACTTGATTTCCCTCATCGAATCAGTGAGCACAGGGCTGGAGGACTGTTTCTTTGTCCTTGGGTTTCTGACCCTCCAGAATGTCTGGGGTGTGGCATGTCACTGGAGCCCCACACACTTCACCTCCACTGTAGTCAGCACTACAGAGCCTCATAGGATCTCCCTCTACTTCAGGTCCTTCTGCTCAGTTTTTCTTTTTCCTATTCTGTAACCAGAAAGTGACTTTCTGGAGCTTTATAAGTTACCTTTTCCTGTATAGTGACTCCTCCATGGCATCATCCTGGTGTACAACCGGGACTCTGCTCCCCTCTTAACATGTGCTCCCAGAGATTGCTATGAGCTGCGTGCCCTCTCCAGGCTCAGCCTCCAGGGACTGAGAACCACTCTCAGTCCTTGTCTGCCTCTGTGTAGGGCAGTCACCTCTCCTCTCCATGGACACCTGGGTCTGCTGGTTCTTTGTCACTGTGAGGTCAGGTTTTCCTCCACTTCTTGAAGGCCTCAATTTCACATGCAAGTTAGTCGTTTCCATCCCCAAATGATGGATCTGTCATTCAGGCAGGGCACACCTTCCACTGTGGCCAAGCTCAGCTTTACATTTGGAGTTGGAGGCAGAGATAAGTAAGGCCCAGTCCCTGCCATCAAAGAGCAGTGTCCAGTGGCACCGACACTAGACTCAGCAGGGCAGGGTCTGATGGGATTGATGCCATAGATGGAGCTGTGCATAATGGACAGCAATGACAGAAGAAAGTCACCACCTCTCACTGAGAGGGCCAGGACAGCTGCACAGATGAGATGCCAGAAGGTTGTTTTTTAAAGACAGAACTTTTCCAAGAGGATCTGGGGAAATTTTTTCATTCAAAGCACAAGATGGAATAAAACAGCCCCATACAGTAGCATGAGGTTTTTCCCAGGAGCGTTAGACAATAAGTTTCCAGCTACGTCAGGTGAAGGGGTTAAGGGTAAGATGAAGCTGGAGACAGACAGACCAGCCCTTGGACACTAACAGGCCTGGCCTATGAGCTTGTTCTCCAGGCAGTGGTCTAGAAGCCTTCAGAGTGGGAGGTAGCAGGTGGCTAGGCAATCAGATTTCATTCTGAACAATCACTGTTGGGCTCTGAGGGAAACAGCAGGGGTGGGATGTGAGTTGAAGGCCATTGTCATGACTCCAAGGAGATGTAGGAGAAAGGCCTAGAGGGAAGCAGGTGTTAAGGCGGGAACTGTAAGGGAAGGAAGGAAGGGGGAACAGGGAAGAGAGTCTCCAGATGTGCTTTGAGGATGTCCTTAACAGGGACTGGGGATGCAAGACAACAAGTGCCACTTAGAAGTGTGGCATTTTAGATGCCTGTGCTGTGCACACCTGGGCAGTGATGCCCAGTTGGTGACATGGGTCTGAAAGATGAGAGAAACATTTGGCCTGGAGGAGCTCTTCTGGGAGGGTGGGCCTGGAGGCCAACAGGCCCTCCTCCTCCCCAGCACCTCCTGTCTCCCCAGGTAGGCTGGCTGTGCCACATAGACACTACATCCTCCTGACTCTGCCCTCCCGTGGTTCACAGCAGTGGGCTCTCAGGCGATGTTCCCTGGCTTGCATTGACCTCATGTGAGTGTTGTCTGAGAACTGTTGTGTAATTTGCCCCTACAGCAACCTAACATCAAACAGAAGTTTGTGGCCCTCCTGAAGCGGTTTAAAGTTTCAGATGAGGTACGACCCCTTTCTCCCAAGGTTAATGGTGAGTAGAACTCTGGGTTTTGCCCGCTGTCTGTGGGTGCACTCTGTTGCCATGGGAGTCAGGGTTCTGGGATGGTGAGGCCTGCTGTCTCTTGCACCCCTAGTATGACCCCAGTGGAGACAGGAGCTAGGGAAGGCTGGAAGCTCCTAGGTAAGGGCAGGAAGGGGCTGTGCATGGAGCACTCGGAGTCACACGGCATTTGGGAACAATGCCCGGGCCTCTAGCATGGGGTGTCACAAATCCAGTTGTTTAATTTTCCCTCTTGTCCCAAGAGGAATTTCAGTGAGCAACAGCCTGCGGAGTGGAATGTTCTCAGTGGTTAGCCCTTGAGTAAGCAGGAACTGACCAGTGGCAAAAGCACTCTCTTCTCTGGGCACTGGAAGTGTCCCAAGACCCGTTTTCACGGGCTTCTCAGTGGACTGAGAAAAGGCCAAAGATGAAAATTGTTGAGAGAGAGTTCTCTGTCTTTCTGTGGAATGTAGAAGAAGGTAGAACAGCTTCCTCGGACCACTCCTAGGAGGGGAAGGTAAACACTTCAGCTCCCCTGGGGGAGCTGCCCAAGAGGGATGACATACTCACCGCACCTTTCCCTCGGCTGCTCCATGGGTTATGGTGCTGTAAAGAAGAAAGGTTGACATCAAGCCCAGGAAAAAGGAATTGCTCATCTGCTAAAATTGTTAACAAGGACAATCCCAAATTCAGAGATTTCTTCCTATTACAGGTGGGCTTTGGCCTGGAGCATGTATCCCGGGAGCAGATCCGAGAGGTGGAAGAGGACTTGGATGAACTATATGACAGTCTGGAGATGTACAATCCCAGTGACAGTGGCCCTGAAATGGAGGAGACAGAAAGCATCCTCAGTACCCCAAAGCCCAAACTCAAGTGAGGCCCCTGCAGCTCCCCCTCCTCCTCCAAAGCCCCTCCCTCACTCTCCCTGCTGCGCCCAGCGAATCTTGGGTCTTTGTCCTTTTCACACCTTCAGCTCTCTGGGTAAAGACCACTGTTTTGGCCTCTTTTGGAAGTCCCCCTGCCCAGAACCCACTCTTCCACCCTCCACTGTGTCCTTCCCTTTGGCATCCAGAAGCCTGCTGATCTATCCTGAGCACCAGCTCTGCCTGGTGGTGGCACTGACCGTGGCCATGCTTCTTCACCACAGGCCATTCTTTGAGGGGATGTCGCAGTCCAGCTCTCAGACGGAGATTGGCAGCCTCAACAGCAAGGGCAGCCTCGGGAAGGACACCACCAGCCCTGTGAGCAAGGCAGCTGGCCATGACGGGGGGAAGGGAGCATGGTGCAAGGGGCTTCACACCTCTGGGCTTTCTGACCACAGCTTGTTTTGTGAGAAAACTGGTCCCTTCTTGTTTTGACCTCAGTTTTCCTCATCTCAGTCCTGGCTGGAAGCTCGCTTCTCTAAGGGTGTCATGGTGTCTGGCAGGGTGTTCTTTCAGATCTGCTCCCTCATGGCACAGAGCCTTTCCTCCCTAATACACAGCACTTCCAAATCTCTCTGTCCGTGTCTGTCATGTGGTAGCCAGGAGTATGGATATAGGATAGGTGCATGATTCTGACGGCACAGAGAAGCCCACCTGTTCAGGAGACAGTGATTCGGCTTCACTGGGTGGACAGTCCAAGGAGTGGGATCCTGAAAGAATTTGGAATTTAGTCACGAAACTTTCCCTTTTGCCTGATGAGCAAGAGAAGAAAGGAGCTATCCACTGTTGCACGCAAGAGGTGCTTTGGCCCTCCTTGGGAAGGCCCTCTCCCCAGCATGGGTCCCAGGCAGGAGCCAGAATGATGCCAAACTTGGCTCAGGCTTTCTCTTTGTTGACAATTCAAAGCAAGTGGATATCACGCATGACTTTAGTGCGGAGCTCAGGTTTGCTGAGATGCTGAAAATCTAAATGTTAAAAGCCCTAAATGTTGAACACCCACATTTCTTCTGTAGGTCAAAGAAACTGAACCCTGTGAGTCCTCCTGTGGCTTTCGGTTAGCAGAAATGCCAAGCTCCCTCCAGGGCTGGCATCCATCCTAGTCTAAAACCCAGCAGCTGCTCCTGGGAGCCTGGGGGGTGCCTTTCTCTCTACTGCCACAAGGTGGAGCTCTCTGTCCTTGTTACCGAGGACATGGGGTGGACATCTCCCACCCACGCCCTGCGTTTTCCCGGGAGAGGCCTCAGGCCCCACCTGCAGATGCTGAACCCTCAGCGCCTTGCCAGCTCTGCTTCACAGGGGCCTATGGCCTGAGGGCCTCTCTCACCTAGTGCCAGTGCTCAGGCATGCCTGTAGCTGTGTCTCCTCACTGGGGCTGCCGATAGTTACTGTCCACCTGAGCAGGCCATTGGCCTCTAGAACCAGATGTCCTCTTAAACATCAGGATAACTCTTCTAGAAAGAAACCTGGACCTAGGTGAGGAAGGGCTGTTTGACAGTGTTCTGGAACACAGGACAGATATTCTGCTATAACAAAATACAGTCATTAATTGAGAAAACACCCAGAAAGCACTAAGCATAACACCTAACATACTGTGAGTGTTCTAAAAATGCTAATGGTCATTGTTCTCAGTTCAATATGAGAAGCTGTTTTGTACCAGTGAAGGTATTTCTAGCTTGGCACCTGTAACAGTGGTTATGGCGCCAGCCACATGTACGAAGGGTGGTAGGTTGGAACCTGGCCTGGGCCTGCTAAAACAACAATGACAACTGCAACAAAAAAATAGCCAAGCGTTATGGTGGACACCTCTAGTCTCAGCTACTTGAGAGGCTGAGGCAAAAGAATCAGTTAAGTGCAAGAGTTTGAGATTGCTGCGAGCTGTGACGCAACAGCACTCTACCGAGGGCAACATAGCAAGACTGTGTCTCAAAAAATAAAAAAAAAGAAGAAGGTATTTCTAAGCTCACAGAATTTAGCCATATGTTCTTCCTTAATCTCAGTCACATGGTTGATGCCCTGAGCCTCAGGTTCCTTGTTTATGTAGTAGTATTGGAATAGGGGCCAGTTGACTACAAAGCCAGCTGAGTACCAGTGTTTAGGATATGGTGGCCTTAGGGCCCCTATGTAGACGAAAGCCACATTGTGGCAGGGTGGAGTTTCTGAGTTTGAATATTGAGTCAGTCACTCTACTGACTATGATCTTGGCAAGTTACCAAGCTTGGTTTCCTCATCTGCAAAGCACTTGTAAAAAGCACAGGCTTGGCCAGGCATGGTGGATCATGCCTACATTCCCAACACTTGGAGGATCATTTGAGGCCAGGAGTTCAAGACCAGCCTAGGCAATATAGCAAGACACTGTCACTACTAAAAAATAAAAAATTAATTGGCATGGTAGCACACACCTGCAATCCCAGCTACTTTAGGGATTGACTTTCTTGAGCTCTGGATGCAGTAAGCTACAACTATGCCACTGCTCTCCAGCCTGGGCAAAAGAATGAGACCCTGTCTCTAATTTCAAAAAACAAAAAGTAAGAAAAGAAAGCACGTGCCTCACCCAGTGTGGAAATGCAAGGGGATGATGAGATACTGAGATTGGACTTATAGCGTGGTCGGGGCTTGCTTGATCGATTTGCCTAGGCATCATTGTTCATTGCTCAACAAATGCAATTTTATTATTATAATTCATTAGTACCCTTTCAGTTTTGAACTCTTAAAACTGTTAAGACCTTAGATGTCTTTTTAGTGAGTCCTTTAAATTCTGGTTCCATTGGCCAGATTTCAGACTCAGTAGTCTTCTCTGCTAATACTTTTTTTTTTTTTTTTTTTTTTGAGACAGAGTCTCAAGCTGTCACCCTGGGTAGAGTGCCGTAGCTTCATAGCTCATAGCAACCTCCAACTCTTGGACTTAAACAATTCTCTTGCCCTAGCCTCCCGAGTAGCTGGGACTACAGGCACCCACCACAACACCAGGCTATTTTTTGGTTGTAGTTGTCATTGTTTGGCAGCCCCAGGTTAGATTCAAACCAGCCTGCTCCAGTGTATGTGGCTGGCACCCTAGCCACTTGAGCTACAGGCACTGAGCCAGGCCACCTATTTTTAGAGATGGGGTTTCACTATTGCTCAGGCTGGTCTCAAACCCATGAGATCAGGTGATTGCCCACCTTGGCCTCCCAGAGTGCTGGAATTACAGGCATGAGCCACTGCACCTGGCAGATATTTCTGTTTTTTAAGAGTCATATTTCAGACTCACTAGTGGTTTTCTGCTCTTCTTTTTTTTGAAGAGCCCCATATGTCTTAATGTGGGTGTGAAACTTCATAATCCTCTGCAATGAAAGGAGCTTTAAGAACAACAGAATGAGCCTTGCTTATAAATGGAGAACTTCTGAATGGATCAGGAAGACACACGAGGCTGTGCATGTGTGGGCAGACGTGTGCACACTGCTTCCACTTGGTGTCCTTCCCTTATTTCCTAGCATTGTTAGTTATTTTTCTTTTTTTTTTTTTTTTTTTTTTTTTTTTTTTTTTTTCTCCCTGAGGCAGGTCTTGAACTCCTGAGCTCAATAGGCGTGACACACGAGGCTGTGCATGTGTGGGCAGACGTGTGCACACTGCTTCCACTTGGTGTCCTTCCCTTATTTCCTAGCATTGTTAGTTATTTTTCTT